GGAAGAATTGGAGAAGAGATATGAAAAAATGTTTAAGATTAGGAGTATTTATAGGTTTTTTTACCCCCCCCCCCCCCCCCCGCCCCCAACCCCCCCGGACCCCCCTTGCACCCCACCCAACGGCTACATAGCCGTTTGGGTTGTCCCCAGCACACCCCCCAATGGCTATTTTGGCCATTTTTTTAAAAAAAATTGACCGTTGGACCCGGACCCGGACCCGGGCCCGACCCGGCCGGGCCGGGTCAACTTTTTCCGGAACCGAGCCCGCCCCGCCCATCCCCACTGGTTCGGGTCTACACCCGGTCCCGGACCGCCAGACCGGGCCGGTCCCGGGCCCGCACAGTAGCGGGCCGGGCCGGGACACGGGCCGGGTGGCCCGAACCGAATCCACCCCTACCTGTGTCCGGGAAAGAACCGCCATAGAACAAAATCAACACCACCAGAGAAAAACAATCCAATTGGATCATACCGCTATCAAGAATTTCCAAAAGTTTGGATCACCGAAAAAGAAGAAGCCAGCGAGAAGAACGTCCGCCACAGAACGAGAAGAATGGCTTTTACAAAACACGGCCACCACATGCAAGTGAGCAACACTCTAGTTGGATTCTGCCTCTTCCGCCATGAACTATTTGTGCAGAGGAAAGAGAAATGTGCAGAACCACAAATTAGTTGCTCCAACCAATTATAAAGGTATTTTGTTTTATGATATTTTTAGGGAATTAATTAAGCTGATCTGAATGTGTGACTGGTATGGTAATATTTTCTAATGGAATAAACACGCAATTAAATTTGAGTTCGTATAGAGTACATCTGGTTGTACCGCTTACACCGTACAGACGGTGATATTTTTGTAATTTAATTGAAAATCTTGTTTTCTGTTAAATGAGGATTAATAAACTTTTAGTGAACAAAACCTATTTTTATGAGTATTAGGGAGTCTAATAATGAACATCGTGATCTATGCTTTATATCTTCTAATTTACTTTTAATCTTTTTCTTATTTTTTCTTTTGTAAAAGTTTGTTACGATATATCTATAATCCACTCTTATGAATTCCAATATGATAATCTAATTTATTACTACGTTTTATACTTCTGAAATATGCATTGATATGAAATCGCAAATTCTGCTAGTTAAGTATCTATACATTTTTCATTGAGCATTCAACTTCAACTATTTAGTATTACAAATTTACAATTGAGTATCCTAATCTCTGCTCACATGTCTTCTAATTCACTTTCTTGTTAATAGTTTTTCTTTTTTTTTTCTTTTGTAAAATTGCTTAAATTGTATTTACAATTAACTCCTATGAATTCTAATATGCGAATATAAATATGACTTGATATGACGTTTTAAAATGAGCAAAATAACAATACCAAATGAGAAGACATAACCTACAAAATGAATATCAAAAAAACCAAAACGTCATTTGAAATAGCTAATGTGCTCAAACCCTCACTTGACTATGCTTATTTCTTTTAAGTGTTATACTCATTTGGTATGTGAGAGCAACGCAGCAAGGATTGGATTGATCTACCAGGTCAATCTCATTGAAATCTAGTCATCAACGTTGTCATCGAGAATCACTGCAGTACTGAAGATGGAGAAACAACGACTGATCAGAAATCCCTAAATCTCGATGGACTGGAGCGTCGGCAATTGGGCGACCATGTGAGCCTCAAACGAATCAGGTTGCAACAATAGGGATTATGCTCTTATTTAGACTGCATCAATGGAGGAACTCTGCTATTCGCGATGATAGTGATGATGAAGCACAGAGCGATGAACGGATGATGAAGGTTGAGCGATGATGTGGATGGCTAAGAATTCAGTATGCAATGAATCTGGAATGAGAGGAGGGAAAAAGAGAACCTCAAAGTTTAGAGTAATTTCAAAAATATCTATCATTCACATATAATTTATAATTGCGGATAAATTTCCCTTGACGACTACCCGTATGTATGTTACTATAATCTAAGGTAGTACATTCTAAATGGATTTTACTTCTTACTTCACATTTCGAATAATTTTTTATCATAAAAAATAGAATAAAATTAGATTTTGAATGTCTTTTTTAAAAGTGTATGTGTCCCATGTGATAAACAAAATTAATTTAGCTCTTTGTTCCTTCGTAAATTTTTGAACTAATGGTTATTGCACATATTATTATTATTTCTTTTTTTTTTTGAGAGTTTCTGAGATGCAAAGTTCAATGTCGTTACCGCTTTGATTTAGAGAATTAGAGTCATCAAATTTTCCCTACTCCAAGTAATATATTTACTTATTTGTCGATAAGAACTATAAATAGTTGATGATTTGAGAACTATACAAGATAAACTTAACAATACTATAACGTTAGAGTTTATACAACAGTAAAAACATTGACAATGTTGCATATATAAAATTTTAAAAAATACTCGTATGAAGTTTCATATGCTGAAGATTTTCAGACTCAATTTTTTTCTTAAGTAGATTCAAGTACTAAAAACAAGATCTCATGGTTAAAATACTTCTTTTACATCTTCTAGTTATTTTTCAAAAATAAGGGTGATGTAACAAAAACAAATTTAAAACCCAAATTTATTTATTTTTTACATTGGAGAGATTGACTTTTTAAAACATAATTATTCACAAAAAATGAAAAAAAATATTGTACAATAATAAAAGTAAGGATTTACTTAAAATAAACTTTGCAGGGTGGATATATTGACGGTACTCGATTGCAAGAAAAATTAAATTGAGTCAGTGAGTACATAAGAAATCCATAATAGAGGTTGACTATAACAATTAAATTGAGTACCTTCAAGAATAAATCAAAACGTATAAACATAACTGTCTCCTTATTTTTCATATAAACTAGTCGGAAATTTGATTTATAGAGGGGATCTGGTTGCGGTTAATTACCTATATCATACTACCTCCGTTCTCTTTTAATTGCAACATTGAACTTTTTGCATTATTCACATATTCTATCTTGACTATATTTTATTGATTAATGTATTATAAATTAAATTTTTTAAAACTATTGTTAAATTCTTCTCATTCTAAATTTTCAAAATATGTATTTTTAAAATTTTTTCCTAATAGAGAATGAAATATATTAATGGTCAAACTTGTGCGTTGACAAACATGAAATGTTGATTGTTACAATTAAAAGAGATCGGGGGAAGTAATATATATAGTTGGAGAAAAGGCACGCCCTCAAAACACCGAACAAGTTAGGCTAAGGTCGCATAAAGTATCCAAGTACCTTTGTGATTAAGTGACATTATTGTTGCATTCTAAAAAAAGGTTATCACAAGATAAAAACTCATCCGAATAAAAAATATTGACATTTAATTAGAGTAAATACCTCTTCCGCTCCACTAGACTTGTCAAGATTCCTTTTTGTCTCAAAAAGCTTTGTCACTTTTCTTTTAAAGTAATAAATTTGTGACACTATTAACTAAGCTTTCCTCTTTACAAATCTCAACCACCTATTTTTACTATTCTAACTTCACATCAACATCAATTTGACAAATTTGAGTGAGAAGGAGTTAGTAATATAATACTCCCCCCGTTCCAAAAAATACTTCCAATTTGCTTTAGCACGCTTATTTATGATCGTGTTTTAGACGAAAAAAGTAAATGAATATTAACCACACAAAACTTTTAAAGAAAGAAAAATGAGAAGATTTTTTTGAGATATGTTAGTACATAAATGGAAAGAATTTTATGACCGGAGGGAGTAGATGAGTCAGTGGACAGCACTGTGTTTTTAAAGAGACCAAATAGAAATCTAGCAAAGATTTTTTGGGGCCGAGAAGTTGAAAATGGAGTTTACCACTTCAGCGCACTTCATGGAGTTTTCCATTTCATGTGGGCTAATGAGTTCTTCATATTCTTCACTCTTAACTAGAGCCTTGGAATATTGAGCATTCATCATTACTCAGTCTTATTTACCAACATGCTTATTCTATTAGTCCATAAAAATTATTAGCCATACTTATTACACATTTTTTGTACACATCTATGCACACATCCTTGCATAGTTTATTTTTGTCTCCGAATAACTTCTTTACCGAAAAAACATGTCTATGAACATGTTTGTGTGGACAGCCATGTGAACCGGTGGGTACAAAAAAGTGTGTACAAAGTACACACAGTTTTCTTTCAAAAATTAACACCCATTTTTCCATCAACTTTCTTACATGGCCTTTTTAATAATTGATAATATCATCAGAGTCGTCTAATGAATTTGGAGATTCAGTTTCAAATGTAAACTCGATGCCCTTTATTAATAAACGAGTATTTTTCGTCCTTACTAAATGTACTTTATTGATTAGTATTGTTATATATACTACATATAATATTACTTTACAATTCTAATAATTCTTTTTAAAATTGGAGCCCCATAAATCTTAAGGCTATATTCTGTAAAAAAAAAATAGAGCCTAACTAAGCAACCATTCAAACTTGATTATCATTATTTGCAAAAAAAATCCGAGAATTAATTATGGATTGAATCCAGAAATAGGGAGCCGGTTTGGTGATCATATTATTTCGACTTATCAGATTTATTGGTCAGCTTTATACATTTTTCATAAAACATAATACTACGTATTAGAGTTACTTTTCTGATTGAATTGATTGGAATTTTGAAAATAATGTAAAGAACCAAAATAGTGTTTCATATAACAGAAATTGCTTTAAATAGGAGTAAAAGCGTTTTGAAATTCCAAAATAGGAGTATCATGTTTTTTATTCCTTGAATATGAGTAAATTTCTGCCATGTTTAGAAAAAAATGCCATGTTTAAAGCCTAGCAATGCCAAATATGGCAAAAATTTACTCCTATTTTGAAATTTCAAAACTTTTTTACTTACAGAATTCTCTATTCATATAATTTAAAAATATTTTTTGCATACGGAATACAATTCTCTTTCCAAAACGAAATACAAGTACGTAGTAGTTGAGATACAGACAAATTACCACGTGTAACCAAGTAAAATCTGCCACCATGATACGCTTTCCAAGTTTTAACTTGCCAGTGGGTTTATGAAAAATACTGTACGTAGTAAGAAATTTATGGGAAACTGAAGAAAGAAAAAACTTGAGATGAAGTTCCAGAAAGGATGGGCGTCTCGACTTTTTTGGTCGGAGGATTGGATTGATTTAGATTCTCATCTTTTCATCCCCGCTTTATAGCGCTGTTTTTTCTATATAAAAAAACAGAGCTGTTTTTTCTCTAAGAAAAATAGCGCTGTTTTTTCTTAGAGAAGAAAGAAGCTTTCTGGTTGAAATGATCAATTTTCCAGTTAGAGGTTCTGTCACTGTCCCCCTTGCTTCTATGCTCATGTTTTTTTAAACAATCTACACTTTTGGCTATGCTCCAAATTCCCAAGGAGCCTGAATATCATGAAAACTGCCAATTCTTGTTGGTATATGAATTTTCTTTTGAAGTGAATGGAATTACTATTTCTAATCTTTTTATTATTTGAAGTTGTGAACCCATATTTTTGTCCATGATTTGCTTAATTTATGTAATTTCCATTCCACAGGATGTTTTCAGTTTCCCCCACTAGTACCATATTGCTATTGTGTAGCCAGAGTTGTTACTGGATTGTTTGGGAATAGAAAGTCATTATTCTGAAATTTCAGCTTCAAGCTACAGGTTTTCTCTAGTTTGAAGTTGATAATATATGGAGCCTGAGAAATGGATATCATAGTTCCATTTAGAAAACTTCAAGCAATGGATCTAACCCTTTCTGAGTTACTGAGACCTTAATCCGCAAATACATCTCGTTTGGCAGATCGTGGACTTGAATAAGCTGTTGGAAAGTTCTTCGGCTGTCAAATTTGTTGGGCAAATCTCCTTTGGCAATTTATCTCTGTTTAACAAGATCAGATTGATCATAAACAGATTACTTAAATATAACCATATAATATATTATCTTCGTCGTTTAGCAGTTTATTTGTGTTGAGTTCAATCAATTGATTTTGCAACTCTCATACTTGATCAAAAGGCAAGGATCACAGAGTTACACTGCGGTATGTATCTTACTTTTCATCCTTTTGTCAAAGTAATTCTGATTTCTTAAAACATCAACACTTCAACGGAGATGACATTGTTGATATATGTTCTTCTCCGTTAGGATCTGTTTGGATTCTGGGAAATGCTAGGTAATGAAAATAAGGAGGAATATAGAGAGAAAATTTGAAGGAAAGAAAATACAGGAGAAAATAGTTAATTGATTGCAACTTAATAAATGTTAGATATTTGTTCGTACTCATTTTTTAAGCATTTCTATTAAAAAAGGCTTAGAAAACTCGATGCTCCCTTCATTTTTATTAGTCAATCTACTAGTTTCAAGGTTCTTAAGAGGAAAATTGTAGTAGTGAGTAGTACTATGGTAGAAAAAACAAGAAAAGAAAGATGGAAAAGTAAGTATATGCTATAAAAAACTAAAACTTTATCATATTTGATTCTCATTTGGTATCTTTCATACATAAAAAGACCACAGTCCTTAATATTTTTTAATCTTTTCAGTGCCCTTTTTGAGTTTAATGGAAAAATATGCTACATGGTATTAAAAATTGCAGGATATAATCTTTTAATTTTCAAAATATGGATTTGGACATAAGCGACATTGAACGTTTTAGTGAGAGCAGCAGCAGTGAGAATCAAGATTATGGTGTAAAAGCTTGTTCTATTCTATCTAGTCTTGAAGATACTCTTGGAAGAATAGACGATTTCTTATCCTTTGAAAGGGTGTTTATACAAGGAGACTTAGTTTGCTTAGTACAGGATGAACCATCCGGGCAGACCGGTAGAGTGGTCAACGTTGATATGATTGTCGATGTGGAGGACATTTTCGGAACTAAAATACGAGGTGTCAACTCCAAGAAAATCCAAAAAATACGTTCAATTATGGTTGGGGACTATGTTGTGTGTGGGCCGTGGCTTGGGAAAGTTGAAAAAGTTATTGATCGGATAACTGTTCTGTTTGATGACGGTTTTATGTCTGAATTCACCACAACAGGACATGAGATCATCACGCCCATTTCTCCAGACTTGCTTGAAGATCCACACTATCCGTTTTATCCCGGGCAAAGAGTGAGGATTCATACCCGACCCGTTCCTCCAAAATCAACCAAGTGGTTGTGTTATGTGACTGATGTCAGAAATGATAAAAGATATACGGGGACTGTTTGCTCTTTGGATGCCGGGGTTGTGTATGTTAGTTGGATTGGTTGTGTGACAAACGGACGTGAGGAGGCATCTAGTCCTCCACATTTGCAGGATTCAAAAAATCTGACCTTGCTGTCATGTTATTCTGATGCCAAGTGGCAGGTTGGGGATTGGTGTTTGCTTCTAGATGCTGACGATGAGAATTCCCTGCATAGTTCTCTTTGGGTATGTTTAGACCCCAGAGAGTGATTAATAATGTAATTTCCTTAGGGCATTGGGCATATATTATCGTTTTTCTACTTTCTATTTTTCTTTCAAAACTAGAAACAAGATTTGAAGACCCAAAAAGAGGTTTTCTGTTTTTTCGTTGTTGGCAGTTTCAAAAGTAACATGCTTAGCATAAGTATGACTGCAGTTTAGTTCATTAAACCTCCTATATTACAACTTCAGAAAATGATAAAGAAAGTGCAATTTTGAATGGTTTCTGTTTCATTTTAAAGTTGGATATATGTAAATTTCTTAGTCATGACATAGTGCTTTAAACATAAAAAATGCAAATATACAATAAGTATATAAAAATTCTGAAACAAGTTTATTGAGGTTTAGCCCATTTTTTATTTTGCACCTAATCTTTGTGTATGTTTTGCTTTCTATTTTCATTTCCAGTATTTTCCAAGTTCCAAATAGGCCCTTAATTCACCTCTTATCGGATTTCAGAAGAGAAGCCAAAAGGTGAAGAAGCTTGTGGTAATTGTGAGGACAAAGGCAAAAGTTGATGTTCAGTGGCAGGATGGGAACACAACATTTGGATTAGATGCAGATTCTCTGTCCCCTGTTAACGTTGTTGATTCCCATGACTTTTGGCCTGACCAGTTTGTGCTTCAAAAGGATATTTGTGATGACTCAGGAAGTCCAAGTCTCCATAGATGTGGAGTAGTGAAATGTTTGGATGCGAAGGAGCGAACTGTGACGGTAAAGTGGACAAATTTCCATTCTAAGGAACTAAATAATTTTGACAAGGAGGAAACTGTGAGTGCTTATGAATTGATGGATCACCCAGACTACTCGTTCAGTTTGGGCAATGCTGTGTTTAGGTACTGTTTGGGTAAATCTCAAACATCTCAAACATGGCAGGAAAGTAGTAACAATCTCATGCACCTTAGTGGTGATGAAATGGACCAGAACAGCGATTACTCATCAAGTATTGGTATCATTGTTGGCTTCGAGGATGGAAACATCAAAGTGAATTGGGCTAATGGCTCTATGGGCATTGTACGTTTTGAATAAATTGCTAGTGGTGAATAGTTTTCTTTTATGTGCAATGTGCATACTTTTCTTTTATTGCAGGTTGCTCCGTATGAGCTATATTGTATAGATAAATATGAAGATGCATCTATGGCTATTATACCTTATGGTGAAAATCTTGAGCAACAAAATGCTGGGGTGAATCTGCATGGTGGTAAACAACTTTCAATGCCAAAAGGAAAGGTAGATGTCCCTCTATCAGTCATCATTTCTGAATCAGCTTGGTTTAGACTTCGACTTCTTATGACCTCTCCCTTTATATAATAAAGAGAACTGGCAGTCTAAAGATTAGTTTTTTTTTCCTTTTGATCCCACAATTATTTCGACATTCCCACTTATGATCCCTGACTTTCATTTTTTCTCTTTTGGTGCATGGCTATGGATTTCATCCATTTTTGGTTCTCTGTGGTCACTTAATCAGCTAAAAGTGTTTGGAAATTGTACAGAAAATGGTTGATTGTAACTGATCAACAAAGAAATTCATAGTCACGCGCTCATGCACCAAAAGTTACAAAAAAAATGAGTTGGGGACTGATAGTGGAATGACCTAATAATTGAGGAACAGAAAGTGGAAAGTTATTCTAAAATAATATGAGCAGGATTAAGTATGGTGTACTTGGGTCTATTAATTTTAGGGCTAACTGAGTGACTGTGTTGTTCTATCATCTTTGCTTCAGTAAAGGTGCAATATTGAAAGGATGATCATTTTTGTATAGAGTTTTGCCACTTTTGGTACTCGACTTTGACTTTTTCCACTTTTAGTCCTCGACTATTGCGTCAGAGACACTTTTGGGACCCGTCTTTGAAAATTTTCACATTTAGTCCTAAGAATTTCATAAGAGTGATACTTTTGGTCCTTGAACTATTATATTAGTGACATTTTTAGTCCTTCACTTGTTGTGTCAAAATCATAATGGAAGGACTAAAACTGTCAATTTGATAATACTCAGGGGACTAAATGTGGGAAACTTTGAAATCGAGGACTAAAAGTGTCTCTAGCACAATAGTCGAGAACTAAAAACGAAAAAATTAAAAGTCAAGTACCAAAAGTGTAACGGACACAATAGTCAGGGACCAAAAATGGAAAAAGCTCTTTTTGTACATAACATTGACTGTGCCTTCTATAGAAACCCTTAAAAGAAGTACTTGAAAAAATGTTTTGTGACTGGAATTGGAAGCTTTCACAGCCTGTGATAACACCTATATCGTTAGTTCTTTACTTCTTTAGCAAAGTACTCCAAACCTTTGAGGCAAAAAGCTATTTACCAAACACAAGTTTACTGTAGTTTAAAATTAAAATGCTAATATCAGTCAAAATTGTTAAGTTTTGGATCAAAATGTCTACTAAACAAGGCCTAAGTTCTATACTACATATATCAGGATCCAGTCGATTTTGATGGCGATGGTGAAATCTGCAAAAAGAAGCTGCCATTGGCCATGGGCTCCAATTCCTTTTCTCATGCTGCTATTGCACTCTTTTCAAGTATTAGTTCAGTTCTGTTCAGTATATCTCTGTTTGGTGGATACCATCATATATCCCAAGAAGGGAGAAGACCAGAGATGCTCGGCAAGGAACCTGAAGGAGAAAAATCAGAGAAAGTGATGGAGAAGAAAGATGATTATCAGCTGAAAAGAGACGTGGGGCCCTTAACTTGTAGCAAGCTGCCACCAGAAAGCTTCAGTCAATTTGATATTGTTAATGGTTGCTCAGACCACCATTTTGTGAACACCACAGGAAAGGATGTCACATCTTCCCTGGTTAGGCCACTTTTTAACAAGTTAAACATTTCTTTTTTGTATTATGGTACAGAAAACTTTAACTTTTGTTGCATGGCTATATATTTGTTGCCACTTTAGTCCTTTCCAATCATTTAATGTGTTAAAATAAACTGTAAAATACTAAGGAAAGCAAAGAAATGTGAAGGAAAATTGTTTCTTGTGTTTGGGTTTACCTGAAATATGATTGATTAAAAATATTAAAAGTAATTTTATTGAGTTTGAATTTTGAAACAATGTTATCTTCCATAGCATTTTCAATCCTTTCAGATTTCTCTCATATATTCCTTCATATTATATTTGCCTTGCATTTTCCACATTTCAAATGGTCCCTTAAGGAGCAAAAGTGTTAAGAAATACCCCGTATATGTTGTGCATTATCATAAGTGGGAACAGTGACCAGTGGGAGGTGGTAGCAATGAGTGCTGGTTCTAAAGTGGGAATCAGGCAACAGTCATAGTACCAGAAGTTAAACAGTTTCTTATGCTACTTTTACAGGTGAAAAAAGGATGGGTGAAGAGGGTTCAAGAAGAATGGAACATTTTGCAGCATGATCTGCCAGGTCAGGACAAACTTGTCTCTAATTATGAATCTAAAATTTTCCTTTGAAAATTTTAACCCATTTTCGTCAATTAATCTAATATAAGCAGGCGGGATCTATGTGTGTGTGTATGAGGAGAGAATGGATTTGCTTAGAGCAGCCATTGTTGGTGCTCCTGGAACCCCATATCATGATGGAATGTTTTTCTTTGATTTCTGCTTTCCTCCTGAGTATCCCAATGAGCCACCGGTAAGTGCATCATTACTTTCTGCTTTCACAAATAAGTCACGTGTGACCAAGGTGCAACATGGTGGGCACAAGCATTATGAACCCTTTGCCATGTTTATATTTTTTAAATTTAAATCTCAGTATTACCTAAATAGGCTAAATTATCTTATTTAACTCTTCTGGGATTTTTGTGTCACAAACTTTATGTAAAAAAATGAATTTTTGTCCAGTCAAAGAATAAGTGTTGTCTAAAGAAATAAAAGTACATTTACTTTCAAATGAATCAGTTGCAAAAGAAAGTTGCTTTAATGGTAAAATTGTAACTTTTTTGTCCATATAAGAATGCACTGGAATTGAGCTTCTATACACATGCAAATTTAGTGCATAGACGAAATGCACTTCTTATGAAAGCACCTATAGAATTAGTCTATCCAAAACAAGCTCTAAGACTCTTTTTTGGTACTCAAAAAAGAGTTAGAATGGCTCTTTTTTAGAAAATGCTAAGTGTACACGTTTTTGTGTACACACCTCGCACATTGTGTCTCTAAGAGGGGCAATTCGTCTGTATCACAGGCTCTTCATCTGAAAAAATGCAGAAATTTTGCGTAATTTTATATTAAATGTCTGTGATATAGACAAAATGTGCGAGGTGTGTGTACACAAAATGTGTACACCAAGCATGCTTGTTTTTATTGAAGTAATATGTAACATCACGATTCCTAGGGGAGGGCATTTAAGGTTTCATTTTGTTTGTTTGTTTTCAATTCGGTTTAAAATGGGTTTAAAGGGCATTTTGTGCGTTCCCGAAATTGTTATTATTTTTAAATATTTAAGGTTTTTTTATCCGGATTGTATATATTTGGTTTTCACATCAGTTTAATACGGTTTGAGAAAACATTACCAAACTAAAACCAAATTGTACATGGTTTGGTTCAGATCAGTTTGGCCTCTAATGTCTCCAACTCCTCCAGCAAAGTGGATTTGCATTGTTGGATGATGTCATAGTCTATTTACATATAATGTAATGCTAGAAACTGAGAATATAATCTAATGAAAAGATGTTTATCCTTTGGATTTCTCAATACAAGAACACATTCGCATATGCAGATGGTGTACTACAACTCAGGAGGACTTCGTGTGAATCCCAATTTGTATGAATCCGGAAAGGTTTGCCTGAGTCTCCTAAACACATGGACAGGCTCCGAGAATGAGGTTTGGAACCCGAAATGTTCAACGGCCCTACAAGTGCTTCTCTCCCTTCAAGCTCTTGTGCTCAATGAAAAGCCTTACTTCAATGAGGCCGGGTATGATACACAGATTGGTAAAGCTGGAGGTGAGAAAAGCTCTGTCAACTATAATGAGAATGCATATCTGGTCACCTGCAAGTCAATGCTATACTTGCTACGCAACCAACCCAAGGTGTGGAACTAATATTGGCAAAACTTACAAAAAATATACCAGCTTCTTATTCGTTGAAACATTTCTGTGAGACCCAAAGTCTTAACAAGTTGAAGTTTGGATATTTATTTGACATGTAAATTGTGGGTGTACAAAGAATGAGTAAATTATTGAGTATTGACACACATTTAAACAACAAATTAGTGTAAGATTATAACAAAAAAAATTATGTGTAGTATATATTTAAGGAAAACTTCCAAAATGAGTGTATGTGGTTAGTATGGGTGCACCTGGTCTGATTTTTTTGTTCCGGTTCCTTGGAAGGGTTGAATCGGACGTAATTGGGTATACCAAAGATATGTTCATAGCAGTTCCTCAGGCTTTTTTATTAAAAACTCAGCACCAGAACAGAAACAGGTTCTATCTTGTTATGGATGAACTAGTTTGGTCCTATTTAGGAGAAATCAGAAACGAACCGGAGTTGGACATGTTTCAGTCATGAATTATTTTACGGGTACCATTTTTCAGCGAATATTCGATCATTTTGAAACCGGGACTGAGCTCACCCCTAGCAGTTAGGCACAACTCAAGGTTAGATACTTTATTTATGTCGATTCCAATTAAAAAGATGGACAGTGTCTTAATTTGGTTACCTTATGCAGTTATGCTTATCTACAAAGTCCTATGTTCAAGATTTTTAGGATTATTTTTGAGAGTTTGTCTTCATAACTCATCAAGGCTTTCTCTTGTACAGCATTTTGAAGCACTTGTGAAAGAACACTTCAGCAGGCGGGGTAAGCATATTCTGTTGGCTTGCAAGGCATATATGGATGACACTCCCGTGGGTGCAGCGGGATGTGGGCACCTAAAATCTGATCAAGAACACTTCAAAGGAAGTTCTAAAGGATTCAAGATCCTGCTTGCCAAGATTTTCCCTCGACTCGTGGAGGCATTTTCTGAGAATGTATTGGTTCCAGCTGATTCTTAGAATTGAGGAGTGTGAGAAAAAACTCAAAAAAGGTTTGTTTGTTATGTGTTGAGACGAAAGGATTAAAAAGATGTTGTATGCACCTATCTCTGTAATATATGGTTTGCTTTAAATAAGTAGAATGGATAAAGCCATAAAGGTTTGTTTGGATTTACCTTTTAAAGAAGTGTTGTACTCACCGTACCTGTAATTTATGATTTGCTTAAATAAGTAGCTTGGATACAACCATAAAAACCCACCACTGATGGGGCAAGTGACCGTAACAACTAATAGAGTTATACATAGTATATTTTTACATTTTAAATGTAAAAAAGAATTACGTTAGACGTTGATTTCACTGCAATTATAAAGAGAGTTTTGCTAGAGGTACCCCAAAATGTACCTCATTTTTACCCAACCCCTATTGTGTGGTCATAAATGGGCCGATTCATTTAAGTGGTGCCTCGTTTAAATGAATTACCCCATTTATGGCCACACATCAGGGGGTGGGGTAAAAATGAGGTACATTTTGGGGTACCTTTAGCATTTGTGTTATAAAGATAATAGGTAGAGACAATTTATGTGGAAGCCATCCTATTAGGCATTTTTAATTTGGTGTGGCTCGGGACTTAGTTGTTCCCCTCTCTAGCTATGCCCCTGACCGCCCAGTTACCCCAACCTCAGTGACCACGTTTCTAGTGACCACCAGTCCAATAGACTTTACCTCCTCTGATCAAAGACTTTGGCAATCACACCCTCTCCTTCACCAATCTCTAACCAACCCTGGCCATAGCCCCAACTCACCCCTGCTCCTATCCTCTGTCACTGCCCTGAACCATCACTTCCCTCATCACTATTCCAATGAGATCATCAGAAGATAACCGTACCAGCAAGTTCCCCTCTTGTAAGCCTTGTCGCCACTCCACTGCCGTTAGAGAGTGAAATTCAAGCTACTGCAGTGGAGACGCAAATCGCTGAACAAGCGGAGTTATGCTAGGTGTACACATTTTGACGTACACCTTTCGTACACTCATGTCTCACGCGCACAGAATTGTCTGTCCAAGACATCTCTACACGAAGAGTGTACACCAAAATGTGTACACCAAGCATTTCTCTTGCAAAAATGATCTTTGTACACACCATTTGTACACACTATAAATACCATCTATTTTTATCATTTCACATTTACCCTCCTTCCTCTCCACTGTTTCCGTGTCTCCTCTCTTCTCCTTACTCACTCTTCTTTATTTTTTTCCATCTTCATCACTTTCATCTTCACCCAACTTCCATCTTCATCATCTTGTGTCATCCTTCATCTTCATCACCATCTTCCATCTTTATCATTTTCATCTTCATCATTTTCTATCTTTCCCACTTTATCATTCATTTTTTAAGATTCACCGGAGGTGGAGAGTTGCAGGAAAATCAAACCAAAGATGAACAACTATCGAAATTATTGTATGTATCGTGTAAAAAAATCGTACGTGACTTATTAAATAATGATAAAGTTTGTCTGTGTGAAGAAATAAAACTTAAAATTTATAAATAAAAGTCGCAGGAAAACAAACCAGAGATGTAAAGTCACCGGAATTATTGTTTGTATCGTCTTAAACAGTTGTTTGTATCGTCCAAAATACTAATATGATTTGTCTGTGTGAACAAATAAAACTGAAAAATTAGAAATAACATTTTTTATCTGTGCCAAACATTTTCTGTGGAAGACATCTGATGTATGTATACAGACATTAATTTTTGCACCTCTTATGCAGAGATGACAATGTTTGTGGCGCAAAAACTGATGTTTGTGTACATGAATTAAATGTTTGTGGCACTTGAGAAATGTTTGTACTTGTATATTTTTTGTCTGTGTCGAACATTTTTTGTTCGTGAAAGACGACTAGTGTTTGTACACATACATTGATTTTTGTGCTTTTTTGCAGAGATGGTAGTGTTTGTGGCGCAGAAACCGACGCCTGTGCATAAACGTTAATTGTCTATGGCACTTGAGAAATGTAGATGTACATTATATGCCATATATTTTTTTATATGTGGAAGAAAACTAGCTCAACATTTTGAATGATACAGACAACTGACAACACCTCATGTTTATTTTCCGGTGGCTTTTTACTTCCGGTTGGTTTTCCGACGACTTTAATTGTATTTTTTCAATTTTATTTCTTCATACATACAAATAATCAACAATTAATCATCTCCAATTTGATTTACCGGCGGCTTTCCATCTCCGGCGAATCTTAAAAATTGAAAAATGAAGTGGAAAAGATGGAAAATGATGATGAAAATGATAAAGATGAAAGGTGGTGATAAAATGAAAGATGACACGAGATTATGAAGATGGAAGGGTGAAGATGAAGTTGGAAAGAAAAAGAAAAAGATTGAGTGGAGAGGGGGAACAGTAGGGAGAAGAGAGAAAATGAGTGAGAGAAGGTGGTATTTATAGTGTGTATTGTTGTGTACGTACAAAGAACATTTTTGTTTATTTCGAGAGTATTAAACACAAATCATCTCTAAATTGTTTAGGTTTTCATCCAAATTAGATTGAGTCATATTTTTGTCTCCGTAAACCCAATACATAATATTATGTATGGACTCGGGCCAGGTGGCCCGACCCGGAACCGGCCCGAAACCGGTATTGTTCCGACCCGGCCCGACCAAGTGGCCCGGTCAGTGACCGGTCCGGGCAGGCCCGGCCCGTGGGTTTTCCGGTCCGGGCTCGGGTCACCCAAAACAAGGCCCGACCCGGCCGGGCCCTGACCCGGTTCGGGTCAAAAAGTATTTTTTTTTTTCAATTTTTTTTAAATTTTCGGGTTGGGCTGGGTATTTTGGGCCATTTGGGGTGGTTTGGGGGTTGGGGGTGGGAGGGGGGTTAATTAGGAAGAGGAAAACAAAAAAATGATAATGGGCCCAGTCCGGCCCGGCCCCGGACCGGACCCGGTGGTTACCCGGGCCGGTCCCGGGTCCACCATTTCTGAACCGCCGGCCCGCCCGGGCCTAGGCCCGCCCGGGCCTAGGCCCGCCCCGGACCCGAGTCCATCCATACATAATATTATTCATGTTATTCTTTCTTAAAAATATCATCCTTAATCCCTTCTGTAATCCTTCAATTTAAATATTGTGATTATGTGTTAACCAAAATTTCAGTATTAACTGCTATTTAAATTTTAAAAGTAATGTCATGTGAACGGTATAAGTTCGTATATGTAAAACACAGTTAGATTTGCTACAGGATTTAAAAGATAAAGAAAATTAGAAAATGGCTATCACTTTGCAATTGCAAGCTTCTAAATGGTTATATGGTTATAAATTTATAATTATGGATTGAATAACATTCGAAATAATTGTACTCTTATTCCCAAAATGTATGATACATTTAAATAAAATGGTTCTTAATTTTGAATTGTGTCGTCACGTGTGTTATGTGTACATTGATTTTAGTTGGTCAATGTCAATTGATTAATTACTAATATAGTGAACAATGAAAAAGTTAAGATGCTTTTAATGAATAAAAAATTAAAGCTATTCAATTATTATGAGAATTGTGATGGAGAAAATTTCCAATTTAGTTGCACTGGATGAGCTTGAAACTTCAATTAAGATTTAAGAACTTCCTAAATATCAAACATGGGAAATCCAAATATCTTTATTCAAAGTTTGTACAGAACGAAACAAAACAAGAATATAAAAAATGCGTAATTCAAAGAATAATGTACGGGGAGAATGGAAAGACTTCCACCCATGACTAGAAGCTAAGAATGGTTTTCAAAAGTATTTTCCTTTCTCGTAAGAAACCAGTCCATGAGCTCCACCTTCCTGAACTCCACCCTCAGACTGTGCTGCTCCAGTTCGAACCTACATCCATAAAATCATGCAGCCATAAATCTTGACAGAGTTACAGAGGCTCAGATTGTATAAAACTTGGGTAGTAAAAAGCAACACTATTTTGAAATCATAAATAGCTAGCAAACCAACCTCGAGTCTCAATGTGCCCAATCTCAAATGCTGATGGGCTGAATGGATAGAAGAAACACCAATATCTTGGAACCCTTGTTTTAGGGCTTGCATAGTGTATGGTATGAACTTCAAAACAGAACCCTTGTCTTTCACTGTTCCAGCAACCCCCTGAGCAATCTTTAACTTAGTCGTATCACCCAAGTATCTTGCATCACTTCCTTTAGTCATTGCATCTAATGATCCCATTCCTCTATATCTTTTAACTCGTACACCATCCTACATGTACCCAAGATATTACTTAAAATGGGAGCATGCCTGACACAGCATTATTTTACACCATAATTGATGAATTCCATCAAACATTGCTAATAAGACCGGACTGCACTTAAATAACACTGTTATAAGATTATAAACAGCATGAATTAGATAAAGGATATTATTGTCCTTTAATTAATAAAGAAGCTGAGTAGGATGGATAACATCATACAGATAAGCAAAATCCTTTTTGGTGAAGATAGCTTAAGTATGCAGTACAACAAATATGGAATTTGAACGCAAAGGAAGGGAAGAAACCAAAAAGTGGGCAAATAATACGGAGGCTACTCAACTAATTAGCAGATCAATAGAGATGATGGGGTTGATCAGCTCAGCTGATTCCTGGCTTGCCGGGGAGTGGACACTTTCAACGGAAGACTAGCATATCAGTTTGGTAGCTTTGAGTATAATTCTCTCTATATATATTTATAATATCATTGAACAGGGAGACACATCTGGAACGTATGCTCTAGAATATAGTTGTAATACACAATCAATTGCAGCCAATATGTTACTCCCTCCGTCCCACTAAACTTTGCCATCTATACTTTTTTGGTTGTCCCAAAAAACTTTGCCACTTTCCCATTAAAGTAACTATTTTGTGGTTCTACTCATTTCTCTCCTCTGCACAAACTTGAACCACACAATTTTTACTATTCTTATTTCTCACCTAACAAAGGAGTGCAAAGTCCATTGGGACGGAGGTAATACTAATTTATTTAGCTTCTTGTACGTTACCCAACAAATTCTTTTACTCTTTTATATTGTTTAGATATTAGTTAAGTTTGCTTAAACATAACATTCTTAAACAACTGAAATAAACTGCAGGAGAGCATACAGTTATTATAATGGACATATAATACTCTAGTAGTTTATCCAAGAATGCATCCTCCAAAGTGAATGCAATAGGAAAACATATGATATAAAGCATCATGACTGATCATGTAAGAAATATAAAACATCGGCAAGCAAGAAAAGGAGAAATCATGGGAATGATATGCTACTGATGAACCTTATTATATTCGTATGTTCCAGGAGCTTCACTGCTTCCAGCTAAAAAGCTTCCCATCATAACAGTAGATGCCCCTAGGGATAAGGCTTTAACAAAGTGGCCAGAATTCTTTATTCCTCCATCCGCAATGACCGGAATACCTTCCTCCTGAGCAACCGATGACACCTTATATACAGCTGTAGCCTGAAAACAATTGGTAGATTTTGCTAATGTATCATTAAATTAAAGATACGCATAAAAGTAGCAAATGATACACTACTCCATTCCATCAAAGGATTCATGTTTCAAAAGCTATTTTTGTCGGAAAAAAACACAGTAATGTTTGATAAGATAAAGATAACTTTTGACACAGTTTGCCAAAACATAGTAGCAAACAAGTTCATTTCAGCCTACATGGATCCAACACAACGACATTGTCCCATTTTACAGTTGGCATGCCCCACTTTTATTATGTCAATGAATAGCACTACCAACACAAATAGAGTAAAATAATGATGTTTTTTATTAAAATTTGTGCCAAATGTATATGAGACAGTATCTTTGGGGCGGGAGAGTATGTACCATTGTATCATACATAATGAACTAACTGAATTATCAAAAAAGTTTTAAAATTGCACGTAGCATTAATGATTTATAATAGTCGTGTCTTGCCAAAAATAAACAAAAAATAGACATCGAACAAACAGGATTCCTTTGAGGAAATAGAGAGTAATTCTTCGCCTAGTAGGCATAACCACATTATACCACAAATGTTGGGATTAGCCTGATAGGGATAAACCATTAATATTCAATGCTCCTTACTCCAAGAGTCCGAGTGTTGATGAAGTACTTATACCATTGCATTCAGATGTGTAATTTGATAATAATAATAATAATAATAATAATAATAATAACAACAGTAATAGTAATAATAATAATAGTAATGATAATAATATTAATAATAAAACTTCACTCACTGAAAAAACAAAGTTGAGGGAAATGATACAAAACAAATCCAAATGTTACCTGACCACGTCCAACAGCACAAACTTCTTGTGTGGTACAGATGGAGCCAGACCCCATCCCAACTCTTAACCCATCAACACCGGCCCGAATCAAACCCCTAGCTTGATAAGTTGTTACCACATTTCCCCCAATGACATCCAATTCCGGGTATGTACGCTTCACAAACTTAACCATGTCCATTTGGTAACAGGAATATCCTTGTGAGCTATCAATAACCACAGTGTTTATCCCAGCTTTAACCAAATGCTCGAGTCTCTCTTTATCTGATTCCCTTGTCCCTATAGCTGCTCCAACCAAGAACTTTCCATCTGGGCCCAATGATGGCAGTCCAAGTTTAGGGAATCTCTTTATACGCTCCACATCACCACTGGTTACCAAATTAACAACTTCTGCATCACTTTCATTCACCAATGGCACATACTCAAGCTTTTCAGCTTCTAGATAACCAGCTACATCTTCATAGTTGTAGTTTGACGGCAATGACACTGCAGATTTTGTCATGTAGTCTGAAACCCTTACTTCCTTGTTACTCAAAGACTCCCATGATGACCTTGACACGACTCCCAATAGTTTGGACCGCTGAGTCCCTGACTCTGTGACGAATACACAGGGACCTGAACCAAACTCCTCAGCAGATTGGATGGAATCACCAGGGGAGATGAATATCAAGTCGGCAGCGAAAGGGATTTTGTGAGACTTTACTGATTGAACTATGGAGGCTTGTTTGGAAGGGGTGTTGTTAGAGTGGACGATGCCGATTCCGCCGAGAGCTGCCATGGCAGCAGACATTGAGGACTCAGTAACCGTATCCATGGGAGAGGCGACACAAGGTAAGGACAGTGAAATATTGCGGCTAAAGTTAGTAGATAGATCCACATCAGCAGTTGCGAAGTCAATATAACCAGGAAGGAATATGACATCATCATATGTGTAGGAATAACCTTGGCTGAACAAAGTAGAAGCAGGAAATCCATCATCAAAATGAGGTATTCCCTCCATGTCAGTTGCCCTGAAGATGCTTGTGAGAAAAAATCTGGTGTAAGATCAATGACATTAGTTAAATTAAAATCCTAATACAGGCCATTGCAGCTAATGACATTTAAAATTCGAAACAAAATGAAAATTTTGAAAAAGAAACTATTCCCTCCGGTTCTTAATTAAGTTCCTACTTTCCGTTTTTGGATGTCCCAAGCAAGTTCCTACTTCCTTATTTGGCAAATAAATCTACCCCAAAAAAGTGCAAAACAGTGCCAAAAAAGTGACAAACAGTGTCACAACAATGTACTATATTGTAAAATTTACCCCTCAGTAAATTTATTTTCTTAATATGTGTGAAGTCAAACCACGAACTTAATTAAGAACTGGTGGGAGTATCACAATTACATGTAATCCTTACTCCTGCATATTTTTTTGCAACTATAAATTCTTTACATCGATTAAGAAAAAAATGGTAATGAGTAGCGTAGAGAAATTGTAAGAAGTAAGAGAGATTAGATAAAAAAGTACGAAACAACATAAAAAGTCTATAAATCAAGAAAGAGCAGTGTTATCAAAAGCTGAGAGCAGGGGACCTAAAACCACTATATAAATATAGTGGATAGTATTGCGGTAAATTAAAATAGAATAAACTCCAATAAGAAAACTAGTAAACCACATAAATTCAAAGTTGTGGCATGACGACATTCTGTAACTGGTGCCTCCAGAAATTAGTACAGCCAAAGTTCAAAGATGTTCCAGCAAGGATTACTTGTGTTATTGGTCTTTAAAGGGGTATAGAAGCTAAATATGAGAGGCATTAAAATAAGATATTCTACACTTGATATATCAGAACACACTTGAAAAGTAAGTCTTTTGAAGAAGAAGTAAACAGATGCCACTTAGGCACAATGCAGGATGGATTGTGAAATCTTACTGGAAGTCTGGGGCAAGTACAGGACGCATTTATGCTCCATTGCTCCAATTACAGTACTCAAGCACCAGTACAGTGGACGCAATATTATCATTAGACAGTCCGCCCCTTCCTCCTTAAATTTGTCAAACTCTCTTTTTGCAATTTTTTTGTTTTAAAAACGTGATTGTAAATAAAGTTTATCACTTTAGTTAAGTTGATGAATTCTGCAGACAGAAAAATTTGAACTTTAGCGCTTTAGATAAATTCGCACTTTAGCATAAAGAAGAAGGGGGTTTGAGAATAAATACTGCAAGTTGGAAACTATGACAAGTCAACAAGTCTGCAAGAGATAGAAGAACAAATTTGAGAAAGCTTGCTGCACTTTACCTGGCTGAGTAGTGCGGCAGAGGGACGCAGGGGAAGCTGGGCAAAGCGCGGTCGGCGGTGGCGGGTGAGCGAATAGCAACAGTGAGAAGGGCCAATTGGACTGAAAAGCCGAGAAGTCAGGAGCAGGGCGGCAGGCAGGCACCGGCGGCAGGACTTGGGAGTTGGTGTTCGTCACCACTTCGTCTACGTCGATCTGGCTGCTCCAGGGCTCCTACTTATTACGCGACCTTTTCCTATTCCCGGGCCGTTGTCGATTGGGCTGGGCAAACATAATAGTGGAAATTACCCAAACGGTTCCCTTTCATAGGCCCTATATCATTTATAGCCCAATTGTCTTTTCTTTTCATTTTTAACTTTCAAGTTTTCACATTTGATTATCTTATTTCACGTTTAGCCACTTTCCTCGACCTGTTCCTTAAGTAAAGTACTCTCTATCATGGAAGATAAATGCAGGGGAGATTCCCAATTTCAGATCTAACAGAAGAAAAATCTCCTCTCGTGCTCTTCTCTTTCAATTCACCTATCCCTTCTCCGGTCATGATTTTCATACCTTCGATCTTCGTTCTTCTCTCTTTTCACAATCCTCCGGCTCTAGCCTGTATCAAATCCTTTCACTTCCCCCTTGCGACTAGGTGAAGAATCGCTATTAACTCGCCATAGTCGCGATCGTCACAACCTCGGACCCCAACTCGCTAGTCGCCTCATTTGGCTCGCGTCACTGCTAGGCTCCTTGCTGACCAACAAATTCAAGCAACATGTAATTCCTTCAACTCTCCTTAATTTGACAGCCATCTACCTTCGATTTAATTTCCGATCTTTTAAGTTTCTAACCTAATTTTCAAATGCATGGATTTGCTAATTTGTATTACTTTTATAATCTGCTTTTATAACCTAAATTCTGAAATTGCTTAATATGAAAGTCAAAAATTGCTTAGTTTATATTGATTTTTATATTTTTTATGATGATTATAATTGAATTGTTGCAGCAAGAACAATTAATATATAAATCTGTAATTTTTCAATTCCTCTAAAACTTGACAGCTTCTACATACGTATACAATGCAATATATATGATAATGAAAGTAGAAGGCAAGCAATGAAGTGATCCGTGACATGCTATGATAGTGAAATAGAGGTGTTTATCATATTAACAGAATTGCAATTTTGCTTGATCTAGCTATACGTGGTAAAAACTTTAAAAGGGAAGTGTTGAGATTTGTTGGTCACCATGACGGAAATCATCATGTATTCTTGTTTGTAACCTTCGCAATGGAAGTGGTGAGATTAGTGCCTAGAATCAGAAGTATGTAGTTGATATTGAGCCCCTCCCTGAAGGTGTGGATGTAATTTATATGAATTTAAATGATGGAAGTTGTGCGGGTCTGGCCTTTCCCCTACAAGAGTTGATGGCACTTCATTACCATCCACAGGCATCACCAAGACGTACCCCATGATTAAGATAATGTATTTGGGGAGTTTGTCCAGCTAATGAAGGAGAAACAGAGGGCTTAAAGGGTAATCTTTGCAGCATTTTCCCATCGTATATGAAAGAGCAAGGGATCATACTTGATAGCAAGCAGAAATGGGATGTTAGCTAGTTGCTCTAAGATGGGGAGATTTCAATGTAATGACACACGACCAACACTTTGAGAAACAAGTCTGCTATCTACTCCGTCTGAGAGAGAAAAATAAAAAATTGAATTATTGATTGAGTTATATATTTAGAGTGATGCTTTTATATGTTATTTATGTTGCTTTTTGTTTCATTATACATGTTGCATTTTGTTGCATCATGTTGTTTTTTGTTGCAACATGTTGATTTTTGTTGCATCATATTGTTTATTGTTGTTTATAGGTGATTTTGAGTTTTTGTTGTTTATTTAAATCTATATTTATCTTTGCTACTTACTTGAAGTAAAAAGTCATATATAAATATATATTAAAGAAACAAGATTGTGAAGCATCAAAGCCAAATAATATAATACGAAGTGATAAATTGAGCTACTAGATTGGATTTTATACTTATTATAATATTTTTATATATATTTTTTTTCTTTTTGTTGTAGTGTATGTGTTTTTTTGTTGCATCATGTTACTTTTTGTTGCAAAGTGTTGCTTTTTGTTGCAATATGTTGCATATTGTTGTATCAAGTTGTTGTTGTTATTTTTGTTGTTTATTTAACATTATATTTGTCTTTGCTATTTCTCCGAAATAAAACCCATCTATACACACACAAAATACCTAAAATGATAAATTTGGGTTTATAAATATCAACAACAACAAGAGAAACAAGCAAAAAAAATAACAGTTATCAACAAAAAGAAGCACACGGAAACAATGTGCAACAAACAATCACAATAAGATGCTATTGGTAAAAATTAATGTTTTTTATTATTTTTTAAAAGTAATATTAGAAAATTCATATTTTTAATTATTTCCTATTTTAAAATTGTTTACATGTTCCGGTTTTATATTTTTGACATTTTTATTTTCATGGTTTTTATATTTTACACTCTTTTAATTTACACTAATTAGTCTAATTTTATAAAATTTTGGTACTTTATATTGTGTATTTTTATTTTAATTTATAAAAAATATTTTGATTTTTTAAAATTTATCAAATTCTATGTGTTTTTTTATATTACACGGAGTACTTTTTTTGCTTTGTATATACTCTGATAAACAAATCTCTCTTACATAAACATTGCTAGTTACTTATCATATTTTTAATAATTTCAAAACTTCTTTTCCCTTATTTTATACGGAGTAATTTTTTGTTATATTTTATATGTTTTAGGGTATTAAACCGTATTTTAAAGCTTTTTGTTAAACTTTTGATTTTTTCTATTTTTTGACAGTTTATATTTTGATAAAAATTATGATCACTATTTCAAAAAGTTACATAACAAAAATTGTATTTTCTACAATGTTCTCACAGTTTAAACTAATTTTAAAGTTTTGATATATTCATTTATTTTAAAACTGTATTTTCTACAATAATCTCACAATTTAAACTAATTTCAAATTTCTTTTCTTTTCATTTGTTAATTTTCTATATGTTTTTTTTTGCATTCTGTTTTATTTTTTAAATTGAAATTCCTCCGTCGAATTTGATTTACAATTTCCCATCTTCAATTTTTTACTTTGCATTCTTTGATATTTTCATACTTTTATTATTACTTATTTATTTTTTTATTTTATATTTCATACTTTTTAATTTTGTGATTATCTTCATCATTTTTACATTATGTTTCTATTTTAAAACAAGAATTAGATTAATTTTTTGTGTTTGTATAAGTTTAAACAAAGGGGGAAGAGAGGGAGCCTACATGCACTTTGGAGGGGGAGCCGACGTTCACATCTTAGGTCCCAGTAGCTTGATTCTATGCATATGGTCCATTTTTGAAAGGAAAATTTTAATTAGTCTATTTTTGAAAGAAACTTTTTAAAGGTGAAAAAGTGATATAACTTTCATTTTTTGTCTATTCCCGAAAAATTCCCTTTGATAAGTTTTTCAATAAAAATACTTAATTGCTCTTACTTTTTCTACTTTTTATCCTCTCTTTCTTACTTTATCACCTTCTCTCCTTTTCTATACTACTCATTACTCATGCTATGCTCCCTTAAATCTTGTGCCATGTCCAAACGTATGGATCTTTTAAATACACAAGGAGTATTATCTCAGCCCAATGATTTCCGGCCCAAGAACTAATATTTTAAATAGGCCCATAATAATTATTTAAAAGGAAAAACTTCACAAAGAGGTTCAAAAGTGAAAATAACATCACTTTGTTCACTTTTAAAAACATCTTTCAAAATAGATAATACAGTTTTCTTTTCAAAATAGGCTACTTATATGACTCGCATACGGCAAGCTCCATACTTCACAACTGCACTACAGTGCATGTACCCTTAGCATGTTTTTACTTGGACTGTAATTCGTCCCAGACCAGACCAGACCAGACCAGACCAGACTTGGATAGTTATAAAAATACAAAGAAACCAGACCATACAAGACCAGCCCAGTTCAGACCAGACCAGACCAGACCAGATCAGACCAGCAAATTACAGTCCAAGTAAAAACATCCTTAGGTCTTAACATTGTTTCGATTCTTAAATGCATCAATTGTTCATTTTCTTTTTTGTTTTAAATAAAAAAATTGTAAAATTTGTATAAAAAAAACAAAAAATCATATACTTAGAAAAAACATAAATTTAAAAACTAAAATTAAATTTCAAAAATGCTTAATAGAAAATGATTAAAAATGAAAACTCGTATATCAAATTTTGAAAGTAAAAGTAAATGAATTTAGAAGTAAAACAAATCATAATAATGTTAAATAAATGATTAGAAAATTTAGAAATACAAAACTAAAAAATAAAAATGAATCATGTTTATTTTATTTAAATGTGTGAAAATTGTGAAACGAAATTCAATACAATTTTTGTGATACAATTTTTTAAATAGCTAATTTAATTTATATAAAAATATGATCTGTAAAAACATAAGTCAATTTGAAATTTTAATAAAATAGTTTAAAAAAGTAAAACCCCCAAAAACCTAAAATTATAAACAAAATATGTAAAAGTCAGTAAAAATGTTTTGGAGCAACTACCGCATAAAACATATCATACACAATTAGATTGTTTTAATAATATACTAAAAATTTAAAATTCTAGTCAAGACAATGTAAAAAGATCTTTAAAGTTGAAATAAATATATAAATCTAAAAATATTCAGAAATTCCAGTTCAGTTTTATAAAGTAAAATAAACTATATATATATATATATATATATATATTCATTTATGTTTTTTTATTCCAAGGAAGCAACAAACTTAAATGGAAATTAAATTAAATAGACAATAAAAATAAAAATAAATAAAAACAACAGTAAGCAACATGATGCAACAATAAGTAGCACAATGCAACAATAAACAACAACATGCAACAAAAAGTAATATGTAAGATGCAACAAAAGGAAACAAAAAATTACGTCTAAATGTATCACAACAAATACTTTTAGATGAAACTATTATTTCAACTAGTAAACTCACCCGTGCGATGCACGGTTTGAGAATTTTTCTTCTAATTTTTTTTACACTCACTCTTTCAAAATACAATGTCAATAGATCATGTTCTATTATGTCTCCATTAAATAGTATATCGATCAAACCAATGAGTGAACACCCTCATTATATTATGGTTAAAAAAAGAGCACTAACAATTACTTGAAAGATAAAAAAACATC